CCCCCGGGGGCGGCAAATGTCGCAGCACTCTCGGTGGGTACGCGCAAATATCTCGTCGTTATGTTCCAATGTAATTTTTTCCTGCCATTGTTGTGTCCCGCTGACAACGCTGTTACAATATTCTGAGCAACACGCGCGAACTGTAACAACGGCAATCACGTCCGTTCGTACGTCCCGATCACAACCGCGATGGATTCCTAATGTCCCGGCATATCCGATTCACGACGATGCAATCGTCACCGAATTACACCCGCTCAGTCGCAGCTTATATTTAGTGGCGATCAATAACAAATGAATTTGCTGTTATCATTAAGCGTGTCGTTCGTACACATTGCGGATTTTCTCTCGGCGAATCTCGTCCGCCAATACGTAATCAGCTACAACGTTCCCGTATCGTTAATATTGTTAATATTTCCCGGGGAAAAAAGTTCATCTATAACTATATAAAAATATATATGATTATATATAATTATATATGAATTTTTTATCTACATATGTGACCTCATGTGTGACCATATCTAATCACATATATTCTTGCATAAAACGACCAAGGTACTTTCTTAAAGTAAATCAGTCAAACATTACTGAAAACAGTGAATATATACTGATTGCAGTTATAAGTATAGCACTGAAAGTGCTATACTCATAACTGAGAAGAAAATTTACTAAATTTCAAAAAACGTTTGTTTGGATAGTACTGTAAAGATATTTGTTTAAATGAAGTAATTATTTTCTAAAATTAAAGAAAAAAGTTTATATTTAAAATTTCTTTATTTAATTTTATAAAATAATTACTTAATTTAAACAAATATCTTTACAGTACTATCCAAACAAATGTTTTTTGAAATTTAGTAAATTTTTTTCTCAGTGTGATATCAATGACTATTCACTGATTCACTTTAAGAGAGTAACAGACTCACGTCAAAATGACGTCCAAATCTGGTCAGTTTATGACCAAAAATGTCGCAAAAATGTCGATCTAATGTCACAGACTGATGGCGACATTGTAAAACGATTTAATGACATTTTAATGATATCTAAACAATAATACGTCATTAAAACGTTATACAGAAACGTCATTAAGATGTCACAAAAAAGACATCTTAAAGACATCATTATTTAGTCACTTGACGTCAATCGGCCATTTATGACCAGTTTTTGACGTGAGTCTGCTACTTGGGAAATACTGTTGAATGAAAATAGGAAAACATAATTTGATTCAATTAGACGTCAATTCAATTAAATATCATGGGATATTAAAAACATAAGCATTTACTTCAATTGTATCTTCACAACTTCAATTGTATCCTCACGACACACTTTTCAACGCGGACATATATAATTATATATGATCGTATATATAGCCATATACGGACAAAATCCATATATAAACTTTTTTTCCCCGGCTCGTTCGTATTCCGCGAGTGACAATTTTTCTCTCCATCATCCTCTTTTCCCTTTACGTCTCTCCTTCTGCTAAGAAACAAACATACCTTCGATCACGCGGAATATCGACACATACGCAATTAATATGTACATGGATCGATTTTTAGTTAGCCGAATGGAGGACGCATTTGAACGGCGTAAAAATCCAGTATCATCGAGTCTGGTGAGAGAGATTCGGTTCTCTTTAGGTTCTCCAGGAGTACAACGGACGTCTCTGTCGACAAACGCGAAGGAACGCGCTCTCGTTGTCGTTGGCGCGATGCGGAATATTCGACAAACCGTTCGAATGCGCTCCAATGCAAATCCGCCGCTCCGCGAGCAGAATAATTCCGATTTCGCGGAGCGGCGCAACGGAGGAAGCGAAACGCGTCTTAACGTGAATCAGAATTCGAAACAGTTGCGATTTTAGCGAAGTCGATGCCATGTAAAGCAGACACGTTGGTAGCTTGTATTCGTCTTTGTGTTACTCTCTCTTGAAATGAATCAGTAAAAATGTTCCTGATTGAATCAATCAAAGGAGTATTTCATAATTAGTGAATATTCATTCGCGTCTTACGTCTCGCTGATTCTAGCCAGTGGAAGTAAATTTTCACTGCAAAATCTGTAGCACACCAATTTCCCGAGATAAAATTATTACATACAATTATACATGAATTTTTTCTCTACATGACATATATGAGATATACAGGGTGACCGAAAATTCCAGACAGTCACGTCTGCAGGTAGAACGGGTAAACTGAACAGAGAAAAGTACCATTTTATAATAGAATATCAAATACCATTCTGTAAATTTCTTATTTGACATGTCTACAGAGTTCGTTCTACACGTTCAAGCGTTATTTCTAATAACACTTACTAAAAGAATGGTTCTTCTAATCATTTTTCTGGTTAAAATCACAAAAAAGCATAGTTGACGGCGAAAGCAACTATAATTTTCTCTCAATGTACCGCTTTCCATGTATCCATCCGCTCATATTAATTTCTTGATAACTTTTTATGATATTACGAAATTTACAAAATGGTACATAATTGGTTCGTTCAATTAAATCTGTTCTACCTACATACTACGGCTATTTGAAATTTTCAGACACTATGTATACATTTCTCTTTGCTCGAGTCTTTATATGCTATACCAAATCCAACTTTCTGCGTTTGCAACGATGAAAATTAACGGCTTCCATGCGACATGCGTACGATAATACTGTCTGTGTTTGTAATATGCATAAATATCGGTAACAGTCGCTATTATCAACTAATCCTCTCTGCAATATTTTACTAATTGCAGCGCTATACTTATCACTGAACTACCAATTATAAGTATAGTCTTCCAGTAAACAATACACTGATCCCAGTAAACACCGACTAACAATGACATCACACCAATGTTATAATTTCCCACTCAACAATGTAACTGTTACATAACACATGCATTATATCGCGTTTACGTATTGCTGAGTGGAAAATCGCAATATTTATGTTACGTTACTGATAGTGTTTATTGGGATTGTACTTTAGGGAGTATAATACCGTGCTCACGATTACATCGGTTTTGATCGCTAATTTAAACAAGATAAAAACTGATACTCGATTTGTGCGGCATCATCTCTTTTTTTTTTTTTCGTTTTTATAGGAAGCGTGGCACAGAACTGTCTTATGAATTTTCGTGTTTTCTTAGCGTTTTATTAGATTCAATCCCGTTTCGACGCTGCGCTAACTGTAACAACGTTATCTATTTGCGTGTATCCGATATATTATATAACTGTCTCTCCGTATTATTAAAGAAATTGAACACAGCGGTTCGATATATGTATAAAGTCGTATATCTCTACCGGACTCACAATCTCTCTTTATCTCTATCTCTCTCTCTCTCTCTTTTTCTCTCTTTCTCTCTCTCTCTCTCTCTCTTTCTTTCACACACACACACGCGCGCTTTCTCCTCAGTAAATTTGAAAATAGCGTTCGCGAGCGATCGACGAACTTGTGCTCAAGCTGCCCTAAATTTTAAAAAGTAGAGATGGCGTTAAAAAGCTGAGGAGAAGACCACCTCAAATTCGTATTTTTTCAAATGAAGATCACACGTGAAACAGTTCTCCGCGACTTTGCGAAACACACGCGATTTCGTGTGATTTTTTGCAAAGTACGGACTCGAAACGTGCCGTTCTGTAACTTTCGTAACGTAATCTTCATCGTTAAAAAATATGGAATTCAGGGTGGTCCGAAGACAAGCTCGTCGACGGCTCTACGGCAAGTATATAAGCTTATTCTGCAACTTTCCTACTACTCAAGATTAGATAATAACTAGTTAATCGGTTAAAAATCAAAAGTTAATAAACGCATAACTTTTAACTTAATTTCAAGTAAGTTAACTTTTAGCTTGTGAACTAGTTATTTTAAAATATATTTATTTTAACTTATTAACTTCTTCTATATGCAAGTTACAATAATCCAATATTAAAAAACACTACGGGCTGCTTAAAAATAAAATAAGAGAAACAAAAGAAAAACAATGTCAGCAGAATTGTATTTCCTTTCTGAGTATCAATATTCTTTTCTTATGTGGAATCCTGAATACAAGATATTTAGAGAGTATTTTTTCTCATAAAAGAATACCTCTTCAATACTTCACATAAATTAAATCTACAATTAAACAGTTACTTTATGCAAAAGAACATACATAATGCTTTGCACAATTAACTTTTTATTTCAGTAAGATAATTTTACTTTAACTTAATTTTGGATTCAGCCAGTTTTTGTTTACGTAACTTTCAATAACTAAATTAATTTTGTGGACCATCAGTTTTAAACTTAATTTACTGAAAAAAAACTTTCTCGCCCTTGCATATATGCAGAGTTGGGAACGTTACTTCAAAAAAGTAACACGTCGTAGCGTTAACGTTACTTTCCATAAAAAGTAACTCGTTACCGTTATCGTTATTTTTTTATAATACTAAACTAAAATACGTAATTAATTTTAAAATGAGATTATTGTTTTTAAGCTTAAGTTATTATTTTTAGTGTAGCTAGTTCATGTAAAAAGAAGAAACTATTTAAGACTGCAATAATCCTGAGAACTAATATTTCCTTATAAATTTGATTCTATCTTTTTATCTTTTATTATTCTTCACACATAAATTATTAATCAGTAGCCAAATTTTGCAATTCGGCTCTTAAAAATGTTTAATAAATTTAATAATAAGTATGTTTAGTGTGTATATATAAAATACACACATTTGTTCCATAGTTTCTTACAAAAGTGAACTACATTTTTTAAACATACCTATTATTAAATTTATTCAAAATTTTTAACAGCTAAATTACAAAATTCGACTTAACAATCATTTTTACATGAAGAATAAGAGAAAACCACTTCCAGCCAATGTTGAAATATTTCTATCTAATCAAGAATACCTAATATACGCTCTCAGTGCACGATCAGTGCATCATTTATTGAATATAGATAACTAAAGTAACAATAAAAGTAATGGTTGAATTCGTTACTGTCCTCTTTAGAGCTGTAAAAATGTAATGACATTATTGTTACAGTGACAAACAGAAAAAAAGTAATGTTCATTATCGAAAAAAGTAACAGTAACAGCGTTACAAGTAACGCGTTGCTTCACAACTCTGCATATATGTTAGGCTTGGTCTACAATATGCGGAGTAAGCTGTAAGCCGTAAAAATTGGCCAATCAATTATTCTTGTAATAATCGACTATGATTGACTAATTTTTACGACTACTTATTCCACATATTGTAGATCAAGCCTTAAGAACAGTCTACAATGGGGATAAAGTATGGCTGTAAGAAGTAAGAATAAGAAATTAACCAGTCACAGTCGAATGTGAGAAAAATAATGGTCAATTTCTTATTCTTTCTTCTTATACAGCCATATTTTACTTCCATTACTCTATACAGCCATATTTTACTTCCATTTTACTCCCATAGACGGTCTTTACATACGTAACGATAACGACATACTTAAGGATAACAGAATAAGCCTATAAAAAGACGCGGTAACGTAGCGTCGAGGAGTCTTGCACATTTCCGAGCTCGCGGTCGAGCCTCTTTACTTGCTCTATCCGACTTCATTCAGCACACAGCACAATATACGTATCTTACGCAAGACTTGTATTTAAGGTAGTTTAGAATATACTTCGTTATATATACCAGCACCCCCATGGCAGCGCTCTCCGTGACATACATATGCATATGTATCAAAGTACACGTTATGCCGCTTAATCGTGTAAGTCGGAAATTTGGAAGTTTCGCTCCAATCGTCACCCAGACAACGCAAACGTCCCAAGGACACGCGACATTTCTCATCCTCGTCGGATTGTTGTGTCCTGCGAGGGTGGCAATCCATTGGTCGTACGAGACAACAACGACGACGATATTGACGGGGTCGAGCTTGTGAATTATAACGACCTTTCATTAAATCAAGCCCAACGATCGTCTCGACAATCTCGGGGTGTCTTTCTCGAAGCCCGTCTGAGGAACGTCTCAGAAGTTCAATGTCCTCCAGACTCTTCGGGGAGATATCTAAAAAATTGAAGACGTTTTCTCTCTTAATATTCCCCGTGCGCGCGATGTCCTTCAAACATTTGCATTGTCTGGCAAGTACATCCCCTGCGGGATCATAGAGCGACTATCTCTCTTTTTTTCTCTTTCTCTCTGATGCGACCGTGTTCGACGGACTTGTGTCTCTCGATTGAAGAAGCGCCGGAACCGCGCGGTGTGTGCCCGACGACACACACGGTTGTGTGCTGCTTGTCGATCGCACTCCGGTAAAAATGCGTTGTTATCGAGTGTACAAAATATACTATATATATCGCCGCCGCGCACGAGGAGACTACGAACGCCCTCCGCGCGGCGAATCTCATTTATTACGTTTATTGTATTGCGGTTTACAGCGACGTTGCAACTATTGCTCGGGGTAATACGTATACGAACGAAACGTACTTCGAGCTCGCGCACGGAAAACGAAGCTCAGCGCGTGTGCGACTGAATAGGGACTGAACAGACAATTCAGCGACGGGGAAATTGTGCCTCTACCGCGACTAGAAACATTCGTCTGAATTGAATTCAAGATTGCGCATAATTAATTGCTTTTTTAATTAATCGTCGTGTTCAATTGACGATTAATATGAGTCAATCCAATTGGAGGCTGTTTGATTGACAATTGATTTCAATAAATTTAATCGAAGACCGTTCAATCGATGATCGATTTCGGCGAATTTAATTAAAGACTGTTCGATTGAAGACTGATAAGAGAGAAAGAAAGTAAAGATAACAGGTCTTCTGAAGGACATTGAACTTCTGAGACGTTCCTCAGATTGATAAAAGATCGTGCACTTAATAATTGAACTTGGCAAATTTAATTAAAGATCGTTTAATTGATGACTGATATGAGCGAATTCAATTCAAAATTATTCAGTGAAGATTGATATGACCAGTCCTCTCCTTTTGGATTAAATTTGCTCATATCTCAGTCATCAATCAAACGACCTTTAATTAAATTTTCCAAGTTCAATTATTAATTGCACGATCTTTTACCAATGTGAGTGAATATTTTTATACGAAATTAAAAAATGAGTTTTGATGTACTCCACCGTCATATATTCGCTTCAATCGACTGAAACATTCGTTCATATGGAATCAAAATCCGCTCTAAGTTTGAGTGAAACGTTCACTCTATTTCGGATGGCAGTATTTTCTTTTCGACTGAAGATACTGCCACTTTTTGCACGTTTTGAACGTAACTCAATTCCAAGAAATTTCGAGAATCCTAGAACCGAGAGAGCTTTCTGTTTGGTCCTTATTCTTCCCAGGCAATGGAAAGCGATTTCGAGTGGCAGTACTTTATGTTATCGCTTCGACTAGAGATACTGCCACTTTTCACTCGTTTCGAGTGCGACTCAACTTCACAAAATTTAGAGTCCTAAAACCGAGTTTTCCGTTTGGTCCTTGTTTTTCTCAGGCAATGGAAAATTCAGCCACACTGAAGGAACTCCCTTTTCCGTGCACGAGCAGTCAACCGGCTCGACGAGACGACCCGATCCGGCTGTTTCCCCTCGCGAGGGAGCAACGATCGAGATTGACTCGATCTGATTCAGCCCGGGCCGAATACCGTAGCTCACCAGGGTGCGCCGGCAGTTCGTTTATCTTCGCGAGGGAGGCTCTCGTTCACCTCTTACTCGAATGGATTCGTGTCTTACATCGGCCGTACGCCGGAATCCGTCGCGTGTAAATCATAGAAAACGCAAGGTCTCTCTCGCACACATAGACTCACGCGCACACATAGACTTTCACACACACACACACACACACACACACATATACCAATCATCGAGCTTTCGCGATCGAATCCGACCGATTTCCATTCGCTGTTGGGAAGAGCGAGGGTACAGCGGGATTAAACACGCAAGACGATCGCGTATTTTTAAGACCCGTATCAATAGTCGTTACTTGTCAAGACTTGTCTCACATAAGATTCTCATATTTAAATTCAAAATTAGATCGAATCTTTCAGTTAAATCGTATGATATATGCAACATTATATTCGTCATCGAGATTCAACTGAGAAACTCACATCCAATTCAAAATTCAAATCTAAAAATCTCACTTGAAACCAGTTTCTCTTATAGAAATATCATACTAAGAATCATTGATAATTACTTATTATCCAGTATTTTTAATACTGAAAATAAGTAATTATCAATGATTCTTAGTATGACATTTCTATAAGGGTTCAAGCAGTAACTATTAATCAATATTGGGTATTGATCAATTAAAATATCCTTTGGCTAAAATAATCGGCAAATCAGTGAACAAAATTAATCAACCGTCATATGTGTAATAGCGTATAATTTAATCGACTGAATGAAATTAATTATTAATCAGTGCACAATCAATCACATCAAAGTTTGACTAATAATTAATTTCATCGATTAATGAAATTATCTGTGCTTTTACATACGATGATTGATTAATTTTGATTATTGACTTGCCGATTATTGTAGTCAAGGGAAAGCTTAATTTATTTACGCCCAACACTGCTCGATACAGGCCTTAGTAAAGCGTGTTCCACGGTCGGGGAAGCGCTAGTACTTTCAATCGATTATCATCGACGTCAACTTACAGAAGACAGCAATCGCCCGATCGGCTCGCCGACTCGTTCGTCGAGGTTGAATGTGAACGTCACCCTGAACAGGTATTATGGAACTATTCGGAAAAATCCGATAGAAATAATACCGCGTTTCCTGAAGAAGACAATAAATATCTGAGAAATGACGGAATTATTCTGATCGAAAATCTTTTCGGACAGTTTCACCATACCAGTTCCTAAACGCACAAGGATACTGCGATAATGCACCGCGGATTCTTATTTTTTTCTTATTCTCATGTGTGTGTGTGTGTATGCGTTTGAGTATGTGTGTATGTATGTGCGAGTTTCACAATCAGAAAGACATACTTAGCATTCGATATGCATCTAGAATACGAAGTCCATGTGCGACAAGGGTTGACACGCGATTTTGAGAAATTAAAAGAACTCGACGAAAAGAATTCGATTCGTCGGTGGCGCGTTGGTTGAGTGTCACAGTTTCATGAAGTGAGTGGCAACCCAGCAAACATGATTATTATTATTCTTATTAGGTAAATGGGAAAAGATATTCTCTTTGGAAAAATAATACAGAAAATTTATATATATATTCTCTTGCATGTAACGCATTTAAGGAAGTTATAAGGCAAAATAAGTTTATTAAGAATTGAAATTTGCACTATATATAAATTGAAATATTTAACTGTTGGTAATTAGAAAAAATTGGTCTTTTTTGGAGAGTTGAAATATTTTAAACTAAAGATGACACTTTTTATATATATTCCTTAGAATTGGCGTGCTATTTCTAATTCCTATTTTCAATTTCTTGACAATTAAAATTAGAATTTTAATGAAGAACTACTAAGATATTAAAGGCTAATATTCCGACATTATATATAAATTCCCAAATTAATGATTGTTATTTAAGAAATATAGCGGTGGAGAGTTCATAATTTATAATAATATTCGAAATACACTTGGGAAAAAAACATATATGAATTTTGTCCCTATATGACCATATTATAATCATATATAATTATAATAATAAATCATATATATTAATAATAAATCATATATATCCACACAAAAAAAATACTATCAAAGTAAATGATGTCGCTTAATTTGACTTTAAGTATTATGAGAAACATAAAAAAAAATCAATAATGTCAGATTTCTCTCTCATTGGATTAGTTTATTTTATTATTCAGAATATATATATATATATAGATATATATATATATATAAAATTATAATGACGTTTCAGTAGCAGAAACTTTTAAAAGAGGTCTTACTTTCGCCGAAAGACGTTTAGAAAACGTCCTACTTTCTCAGATTTCTTTTAGACGATTGCAAGATGACTTTTAGAAATTTCTGCTACTTAGGATACTAAAACATTCCATGTCTCTCTTCCGTGGATTATCAGTAATCAACGTTGAACTTTCCGTTCAGGTTGTTTGATATTTTGGCTCCAGAACAAAACACATAAAAACATGAAATACCTTTATATTTATTATAAGATCCATATTATTTAAGAAGTGAATTTTAAATCATAATACGACGACGTCAGACACATCATCAGAGACCTGTTCTTTCCAAATACTTTTTCTAAATAATCTTGTAATCCTACTTTCTTGTTCCTTCCATCAAGTGTCAAATGCGTCTACTTCAATTTAAGTAATATAAACAATGCAATGTAGCACAGCTATAAAAAAAATCCGTGAACAAATAAACATTGATAGAATATTATTACAACGATATTCAAAAGCGTATAACGTTTTATAATATGTAGTTTTTTACGTTGTATATTAACAACATTGCGAATAGCTTCGATATTTCTAAAACATTTCTGCAATATTTAAAGAGATCATATTATCTCACAATATCTTTAAAATATTTGTAAAATATTAAGCGAAAACAAGAGATACATGCGAAATTAGTATTTCAAATGCTGATGTAGGTTGCATTCCAAAGCGTCCTTCTAGAGGAAAACTCTGTCGAAAATCGATCGACGTTACATGTCGCATCCTTGTTTCAATAGTGCCATATCCATAAAAATTTCAAAATTCATTTTTTTGCTCAACGTATACATTATGATGATGCCTACAAGGTATAAAAGTGCCATATCAATAATTCTAATAAATTCCATGTGAGGCGCCAGCTGTCGATTAGCTATTTCGCACTACATGCAACAAGAATTTCTTAGGATTTCACACTAAATGTCACATCACTAATTGGTAAAGACAACTTCAATCTGTATATATACCGAATTTGGTAAGCCCAAGTTGCAAAGTTGCTGACCAAAAAAATATTACGTTCACACAAAATTTCATTTTGGCTCTCCTGTGAAATTAAAATTTTCGAGGTTATGGCACTATTGAAACAGGGGTGCGATATATGGATTTTCAGTAAAATTCCTCTCAGAAAGGAATGCCGTTTTGAATGCAAACCTAATGTTCTTTGTTTTCCTTCTATCCATAAAAATTTCAAAATTCATTTTTTTACCCAACGTATACATTATGACGATACCTACAAGATGTAAAAGTGCCATATCAATAATTCTAATAAATTCCATGTATGTCAATTAGCTATTTCGCACTACATGCAACAAGAATTTCTTAGGATTTCACACTAAATGTCACATCACTAATTGGTAAAGACAACTTCAATCTGTATGTATACCGAATTTAGTAAGCCCAAGTTGCAAAGTTGCTGACCAAAAAAATATTACGTTCACACAAAATTTTATTTTGGCTCTCCTGTGAAATTAAAATTTTCGAGGTTATGGCACTATTGAAACATGGGTGCGATATATGGATTTTCAGTAAGGAATGCCGTTTTGGCATGCAAACCTAATGTTCTTTGTTGACTGGGAGCAAACTTCATGTTTGCTGGGAATGCAAAATATATCACAATACATCACCTGACGCGCGCGAATCGAGCCTTGCACCGCGACGCGTCGCGAGGTGACGACTCGGATCACGACTCAGCGATCATCGGGAGCCGATCTGACTCTTCGATGGGCGGTAGGAATTCTCCCGGGGAAATGATTCGTGGCACGGGGGAGATCATTGAGCGTCAACCACCATCGGCCCTTCGAAGAGTCACGGACAGACAGCGTGATTCGATTAGAAAATACAGTCCGGCGACAACGCGTGCACCACGTCGTCCTCCGGTGGCAGCTTTCTGAGGAAGAAGGAAGGTGAGGAGGGATCTCCGCCACGTTGTTCTCAGCTGAAGAAGGCAATTCGCGTCCCCCGGTGGTTCGACACCTCGATGTAGAACCACGATCCCTCGACCGCGGCAGGAAAATCCCAAACCGCCGCTCGTCGAGTTCGCATGGAATCCGTGTACGCGCGCGCGCGTGGTACGCACCGACGTAGAAAAGCTACGGTATCCGCCTTACGCGCAAAGTTCAACGACAATGTCGAGCATCGGCTCCCACCGCGACTTCCTGCTCCTCGGCGTCGTGACTCGGCGAGGTAGGCGACGAGGGCGACGAGAGCAATGAGAACGACGGAGGCAACGAGGGCGACGAGGGCGCGAAGCGCCGAGCTCCTCGAAAACGCGTCGTGCAACGACAACAGCAACGAGTCGCACGTGTCGACGAGGAGCGAGGACGCCGCGACGAGGGCGCGAGAAGGACGCGGAGCGCGATCGTCACCCTGCGATCGGCCACGGTCACACGGTGTCCAGGCTGCTGGTCTCCTGGTCGCAGGCCTGCTCGGCGTCGGCCTCGGTCTCGGCCTCGGCCTCGACCTCGGCTTCGCCGTCGCTCTCGCTCGGCGGACTCGGCTGCTCCAGCTGGTACTGGTTGAAGCCGCGCGGGTGCTCCTGGTAATGGTGCGGGAAGTCGTGGTAGTAGCAGTGGCGTCGGTCGTCGACTACCCGCTGCGGCAGCTCGTCGATCGGCATGCCGCGCATGCACCGTCGCAGCCGATGGCAGCCCAGGCAGATCATCATGACCACCAGGATGCTGCCGATCACGTAACCTAACGGTGCCGTGTAGCTGTCCGCCTGCGGCATCTCGGCGCCTGCAATTCGCGTCGTCGCCGGTTAAACGCTTTCACGTCGCGCGTCTCGGCGCTTTCCTAACATAGCGCGGTTCAGCGCGCGAGGATGTCGACTTTTGCCGGTCTCTATCGCTACCTATTCTCCCTCCCGCCCCTTCCTAGAGCGATAGCTCCGGGAATAGATGGATCGCCGGAGAACTGAGAAGAATCTAGCGTTCGCAAGAGGGGTTCGCGAGTGAATGATTCTGGATGAGATTCTGACTTTGATTTCTGATACTCGAGTAGGAGATTTATACACAGAAAAAAGATTAATATCCGCTTAAAATTAATATACTTAAATTCGCCATAAATATGCAAGAATGATCCAATCCACAAAATTGTTATTTTTTATTTTTTGTTACCAATGGACAGTCCATACGACTTTCTAAAATATAAAAGATTCAAGCCTTATGGGCGCCTAAAATTATTTAAAAATTGTTTTTATTTTGTATCTTTTTATCTTTTGAGGATTAAGCTTTTCAACAAATATTTTTAAAGAAAAGAAAATTAACCATGCTTGACTTCTTGAACAATTGCGAAGAATCTCAGTGCTATTTGTACTTTTTAAATCATGCATGAAATTTTTATCTGCATTTTTCTCGAAATATATTTCGTGTATGTTGGATCATTCTTGCATAACAGCCAATTAACAATCATTGTTTCATATATAAGCAATAATATGTAATTTTGTTAAAAGAACTTAAAAATTTTCAATTTCAACAATGTTATAATTTTACTAGAATGTTATAAGTCTCAAAAAAGTACAATATAATTATTTTGATAATAATGATATCTTCTTTCGACATTTAAAACTCTTGGCTATTCGCCACGAGATCATCTTAATTGACGTTAAGGCTTCTGATCCCTCGCATTGTCTATCTCTTTTTAATGACGTCAGAAGCAAGAAAATGCACGCTAAAAATTCTTGCAAAATGCGTTAAAATAAAAATATATATCCATAAAGTAACGCTTGCAATCGATTAAACAAATTTGTAAGATATTCCGTGCACTCCCCCTTTACTCTAATAATCAATAATTTATTGTAAATTAACGTGACATACAATTCATCTTCTTAACCTGTTTCTTCGCCTATTTCTATTCAGATTAATTTACAATCTTTAAATGCAATAATTTAATCGATTGCAAGTGTTACTTTATGGTTATGGATATATATTTTTATTCTTCTGACGTTATTAAAAAGAGATAGATAATGCCAGGGGCTAGGAAAAGCGCCTTAAAAGCGAGGAAATGCATACCCAAAAACAAAGTACGTCGAAATAAAATATACTAAAATACAACGAATACTTTTCTTTTGTTCTAAGGATCAATAAATAACTAAAATTAACATGATAAAATCATGAAGAAATGTATATTAAAAAGATAGTATCACGTCAATTTCACAGTTATTTATTGATTATTAGAACAAAAGAAAAGTGTTTGAAGTATTTTAGAGGTGTGTTTAATCAATTGTATAAATGTTACTTTTTAGATAGCATGCATTTCCTCGCTTCTGATCCCATCAATCAAGAGTTGCGCGACCAGTAAGGTAGAAGCTTTAAAAACATTATATTCTCAATCGAATATTTTGTGTTTTCTATTCATGAAAATTATTTTTGAATAATAAAAGTATATTTTTTCTTGGTTGCATTATATAAAATATATTGATGCAAGTGATTTTGTTTAACATTATGTAATCTCATTTTTTAAGGTTTACATATAAAAATAAAATATTTTCAAAGAATATTCTTTTTTCTGTGTAGAGGATTGTTTTCGCACGACATTGCTTCATTTGGTAATTTAAAGAGGTTCTAGCGTTTGATTAAATATAAAATAAACCTATAATATAAGATATTTAACTAAATATAAAATAAACTTATAATATGTGTATAATATAAAAATTAATCGAACCAATAATGCGCAACAGAAATTTCAATTTTCACCGTATCGTTTTTAAGATATTTAATTATAAAGTTGTATTATGGAAGGAAGCATATGTCAAACCTCCATAATACAATAAATCTTCTCTATTTTAACATATTTATATATAAGAAATTTAAAAAATTGTAAAACTATCATAATAAAATGAACATTTAACATTTTAATGAATTACGTAAAAATTTATCATTAGGTTAAAGAGAAATTTAAATCTTTCGATAAAAAAGTTCATCGACAATATATAAGTAGAAACATTATACACGTCCTAAGTTAACGAGATTTGAAATAACCTCATAATATGATTTTTATATTATTTTCTATATTTTATTATTCATTTTAACATAACATCACGTATTTTCAATTCAAATTCAAATTAATCAATTATCAAATATAATAAACATGAATAATTTCAAATATTAATAAATAATTTATTATATATATTATAATAAATTTATATTATTATAATATTATATATTATAATAATATATTAATGATATAATTTCAAAAATAATGAATTTCATGTTCATATTTCTTTTCTTACAATTGGTGTTGACATTAAATGAATGTCTTATAATTTTAATTTTGTCATTTTTTAAATATTTTACATCTTTTAAAATAAAAAAGCGATTACATATTACAAATTTTATTTCACTAACATAGTTACAAAATTACTTTTTTAGTTTTTTAAACGATTTTATTATTAAAATATTGATTAGAGAATATCGTTAGAACCTCTTTAATACTGAGTACATCGATTATATTACCAATTATATTATATTATTTGGTTGGTGCAAAAGATATGTAATTTTTCTATTAAATTTTCGTACACTGAAAAAAAATGTTTATAATTATAATCATATCGCTCATTTGCTGCAACAATGATATAACTAAAAAATTACGATTTTTCAAAAAACTGTTATCAATAAAAAATATAAATGGAAACCGTTCTTTTTATAATAATAACAAAAATATCTTAAAATTTTTATTTATGTCATTTTTGCAGCAAGTGAGCGATATAGTGAAGGAATTGGTATCAGATAAACCATTCTTGTAATAAGTATTACTATAGTGTTATAGCACCATAGTAATAGTCTTATGTACATATTGCTACTATTTTTTGTTAGAACAATAAGAAAATGTATTTTGGACTAAACGTAACTATAGTTGTGTCAGTGAAATTAATCATTTCTTTCAGTATAGGTAGTTTAGAAATCAAAAGAAAAATAAGTAGTCCTCGTTAAATGTCTAAAAGAATATTGTGTTGTTAATTTTATTTGTAAAAATTACACTGATCTACAAAAAATTTTTTATCACATGGATCAAATTATGTGACCTATATAATGGTGTTTTACGCTGAATTAAAAAATATAAATGAAATATTGGTATTATACAGTTTTTTCTAGTTATCTGACTTTTAATAAACCGATTTTGATCTAAAAAATATAACGTTAGTTACATGTAATCTTATGTTTTTTGTGGAAAATAACATTGATAGCATTCTTTTCAATATAAAAAAATATAAAATTAAAATCAAATTGCGAACTGCATATGGAATCTCTCTCATATATATTAAATTTCAAGTAATCGTCACAAAAAAACTGTGGATGATGAAGAAATTCTGATTCCATTTTCGGAATCTATGCATAAAAATGCATAAACACATAAAAATTCCGTGTAACAAATTGACTAAGTTATTGATTCTTCGAAATTTCCTATTTTCTAGTTTCCTATTTCTTAGTTTCCTATTTTGTTTTACAAACGCGACAATAACCTTTTGCACCAACTTAATACTAATAAGTGAAATCTTCTCAGGTCGAAACGGATGGGAAATAAACCTTTGATTCTGAAGACCTTCTAATCATCTAATGATTTTCTGTCCGTTTTCTTAGAATTTATCTATTCTGTTAGGGTTATATCGTTGATATTCTATCTCTATTTAATATTTTATCCCTGTGCGATGAAATATTACTAAGAGCTGCATTTCTTTCTTGCAATTTTCACGCCTCGTGCGTTCGTTGACAGTTCACTGGTGTATTGATCGCTAAACAGAGACTGATTTGAATTTTATAATTCAAGGGAGGTCACTCACCGAGCTGTCATTAGATTGCAGGGGGCTTACGAGTCTTCGAAATTTTATACGGGTCCTAGTTTAATTTATATATAATTCCACGTAAATCGAAAGAGATATAGGGTCTACGAGAAAGAGGCAAATAGTACAATTCAGAGAGAATACGTCGTAAGAGATTCAGGAGTACAAGTAGTAGAGAGTAATCGCATGCAGTCAGATAATTAGTAAAGGCATATATCCAATGTAATTGCATTCCCTCTCGACATGCTTTTTCAGTTTTCTGTGTCGGATGTCGTGAAGGGCCGACGTGTAGTCTTTGTTGTTCTTTTCAATCGCGAGACGTCGAGTTGTTCGTTCAATGATAACAGAAACGCGACGATCCCTCGAACGCCAGGTGACGCGACATCGGTTCCGCGCTTCTCTTCTCCTGCTCGCAACGCTTTTGTGAAAAACACGACGTACGTTTTCATTCAGATGTTTATATGCGACATAATCGGCGGTAACTGTTAGTTAGACCTGGACTGCAACCTTGACAACATGAACCGCGACGCTGAATAAGGACGTGTAACACCCGCTCGTCCTCCTTCCTCGGGCCGGCGTCGAAAGTAATGACTGTCGTGGCTCGTGGTAAAAGTGACCAAGTCGGAAACCAAGTGACACGGAATATGCTCATTCCATTCGGGCTGTTAAATACGGTAAATGATGTGCAGTACTGTGAGTGAACTCACGTGATTGAGAGGGGAGATCATAGCATGCCGGATCGTCGGAAGCTTCATGAGGGGGCTCAGATGGCCACGAACACAAAGCACAGAGAGAGAAGAAGCATGGCAGAGGCCCCAGCCAGTGCTGGTGACAATGGGGCTGATGCTGCACCTGCGACACCACACAATCATTCATCCGCGCAGCGCCACCACTCCCTCACCTGTTACGTACGTCTACGTTTACTACTACTTACCTAGAGAAAAATTACAACGCTCGCACGCTTATTACGTGTGTAGCCCCGAGACACGCTCTATCTATTAACGTTACATTAACCGTTCGTCGTTATCTCGCTCGCTCGTGTATGCTTCTGTACGCTTGAAAGACGCGGCCGAGTGTGATCGAATCGCGGGATTCGCGTCGGCGTGTAAGCACCTTGGCCACGGAGACGCGCCGGTGTCGTTAGCAAGCCCAGATAGACAGTTGTACGGTGTCAATTTTGTCAGTCGATTTGCAAAAGTTGCAATCCCTTATGAGTAATGCATATGGCAGTCATATTTATCATATAAACACAGAAAAAGGTATTCAAGTAAATGTTACTTATTTCAAGTATTTTTTATAAGTTTACATATCCGCAAATCTATCATGAGTTCATTACAAGCGTTAAATTTACTCAAATACATTCTGAATGTATCTTAAATGAAACTTAGCTTTTCAATCAAGAATATTAAATTGTAACAAAAAATCAGTTTATTTAATATAAAGAGTTGAATCAACTATTTCTTGGATAGTTTTATAATATTTTTCTAAAGAGAATAAATTTTTCTTTTGAGTACATAATAATGAGATTTCTAAAATTTATGACAAGTATATCTTGAGCATATTATAGAAAAATATTTTCTTTTGAAAATAGCCATTACTTAAAAGAAGAAAAGTAAATTGAGCTATCGCTTTTTTTAATAGTAGAATATTTTTTCTGTTTATAAGATGATGAAATAGAAATACGAAAGATTTATCAAAATTTGCTCAAAACAATATGTTATATAAATTATATATATGAGAAAATCTGAAAGGGCGTAATCTTTACCCAGTCAGAACCATAACGTTGATTCAAGGTTGATTCGATGTCGAAATCAACTTTTGAAGCAATGTTGATTCAACCCTCATCGACGTCAGAATCAACATGTGGTTCTGACTGGGTTAGTTGTATGTATGAAAATCCTGTCATGTAAAATATGATATGAAAATCTGAGAGAAAATAGAGAGTGAGACTATTAGTAAATTCGTTATTGCATCAATATAACAAAAAATTTATTATCTTACGACGTAAATCTATAATGATTAATTCAATATTATTTTTACTAAATGTAATTTAACAAATTGTAGAGTTTCCATCATCGATTGTCTCGCGTTGTGATAATCATGAGATAGTCTATCTGGGACGTCTATCAAGATGTAAATCGCGTGAATTATTTCTTTCGTTGTTTTTGTTTGTTTTTCACTTTTCTAAACAAAGCGTTTGACCTCTCCTCAATAAAGCAAACGTCGTGATACATGCACCGTGCACAGTGTCCACAATTTCTGCGGTTTTCTTGATTTTCTTGATTTGTATATTCCCAGATAGCACGCGATATCCTATGGATATCCTGTGGACGTTCTTAGGACATTAGAATGTCCTCTGAACGTCTGTAGAATGTCTCTGGAAGATTTGTGCTATCAAGGTTTATATATGTATGACACTTGTCTATATGTTTGTGTGTGTTCAGGTATACTTTATATTATAGCTTGAGAAAACAAGGAGGTAAAGATACGAATTCGGGCATCGTCTCGCATATTACGTACTGTTTGTTGCTGTTTTTTGTACACGACGCGGGAAGAAGAAATCACGCGCGTTGTTTTGACGTGACACACACACACACACAAGTTACTAATATCTCATCGTTATCATGCTGGCTCTCGACTGAGTGTCTCCGTGCCGTTAATTCGCTCTTCGTGTCGCGCGTGTTTTGAACTAGCAAAATACAAATGAACGATACTATTAGAGGATCGCCTGAAGGTATTACGATACACAAAAACAATAACACCTGGAAATCTTTGTAGAATACAGTGTCTATTGAACAGTCCAAAGGAGATTACACTGAATATCAGAGTATAGTTTACGTAAAGAAAGAGAGTGAGATAGAGAGATAGAGATAGATGGAGACGTTGAGAGATAGATAGATAGATAGATAGATAGATAGATAGATAGAGAGAGAGAAAGAGAGAGAGAGAGAGAGAGAGAGAGAGAGAGATAATTAAGTCGCAATGGAAGCAAAGTAAAACACCGAATCACACACCGCTTTCGAAATGCTTGCTCCTGAAAACGCTGCGACTTTAACGTTTGCGAAACTTACAGTTCTCCTCGTCCGACGCATCGTCCGGCCCACAATTATCAATGTTATTGCACCGCAGGGATTCGGAGATGCAGTATTTACTTTTGCTGCATAGAAACTGATCTTGGCAGTCGGTATTGGTGCTCACTTCGGTCCACACCGCGCGAAAGCCCTGCTGCCCCACTGCTTTGTCGGCCGATATGAAACTGTAACGTCGCGTGTTGTTGCGTGTTACACGACGAGGTGAGAAAGAGGAAAACGAAAGGAGGAAATGAGATAACGATTGATCATCAAGTATGATCGCGACGAACCTGAGCCGCATGTTGTTGTCCTCCGAGATGTAGCTCCACTTGACTTCGCTTGGCTTCATACCGCAGAGTTCGCGCGGTGTTGACGTCAACGAGTACCACATGCGTAACACGGCCGCCGGGCAACCTCGCGCTGAAACCAAATAAGAGCCGGTGTAAACTGACGCAGTCGAACCGATTATTAAGAATCATTATTAAGAATTTCTTCACGCGCTACCTGACTGATCGCCCTCCACGGAGAAGAGCTCGAAGTTCAAAAGTATCTGCTGATTCGGCCGCACCCTTATGAACCAGTTGCAAGTCTTGCTGGCGAGGTTCCGCGCCGGTCCCTCGTATTTGTTTGGGAAATTCGGGCTGGTTATGATACCGTAATTTAAGCTACTAATATTCGACCCGCAATCTACGACACGATAAATTCAGTGGGATTAATATCTTCGAGCGGGCAAGATACACGAGCGTGCAGCTTGGGTTTAGTTCATGGACCAACTGCAATTAGTAGAGATTTAACTCTTTGAGTGTTGCGAGCGTATACATGCACTGGAAGAAACAATATCTAAAAGATAGAAGATATTTATTCGATAGATATTAATACTAATGATATATGTATTTAAATTTAAATTTTTTTAATTTAAATAGAACAAACAATTACTTTTTTTAATGAAAAGCTACGGTTTTAAGAAAATATGTATTTTCTCATTGAAAAAGAAGTTTCTCTCTCAGTAAAAATATGTATAATATATTAATATTACTTTATTATATACTTTTATATACTTATATATATATATATATATATATATAGACTATATTATATACTTTATTATATACATATTTAATACACAGAGAAACTTTTTTCAATGAGAAAATATATATTTTCTTAAAAATATATCACCTCTCATTAAAAAAAAGTTCTTTAATGTAAAAATGTATAATATGTATCTCAGTATAAATACATGTTATTAGCACTCATTACTCACCGAATAAATAGTTTTTTATTTTTTAGATGTTTTTTCTTTACATACAGTACGTGTTCGAAATAAAAACTATGAATTACTGTGCATCTTCAAAAACTCTCTTTTGCAAATTTACTCTTTTAACTTAGCTGATTAACATCAGTTTCAGTTGTACTACACGCAGAAAATTGTTGAATAATATAGTATACTAATTAAATATAATTTATAAGACATATTGCGCGATTGAAATATAATGAAATCAAAATTTATATTTGACAGTAATATGACAATATTTGACAATAATAAACAAATATTTTAATATTTTAATAATAAATATATTTTGCAGTTTGATGATGCATAAATTTATCATATGTATACTCAGATAGCACAAAATCTTTAGAGAAAGTTGGGACGTTCTTAGAATGTCCTTAGAACGTCTTTGAAACATTTTTTGAAGATTTGTGCTGTATGGAATACGAAATTATCAAAAAAATTAAAATATTTCATACTGACATATATAATTTTCGACACTAAAGCTTGAATTGTTCGTTATTTGTAATGCCAGTATAAGAAACATTTTTCTCTCAGATAGTAACGCACGCGTACAATATTACTGTGCATAAGCATCTATCAGAATTGCAGAAAGACAGAATATTTGTTGCGCTTCTGAGTAGTGATGGACAATTGTAACCGTGTCTATCGCGTTGCATTGCTTGTCATCATTCATCAAAACTATTATATAAATAAATTTATTGAATTGATTTTTGGTTGAAGGAAAGAAAATATTTCTGGTTTTTATAAATCAAATTCGGCTCTAAGAATCAGAAATTCTGTTTTCTTCAACCAAAATGCATTATGTTCGTTCATTCTCAAGTTAATTCAACCAAACTTTATTCCGTTTAACATTAAAGCAATGCAAGAAATAAAAGATGTAATTCAATATGGGAATTTTTTTTACCCACGTTGCAAAGCTATTGAAAAAGTTCCACACTTCTTAGGAATAATTATTTCTGCGAACAATTTTATACTCCGTTCTCTAAATTCCTCATACTTTCTTCAGATGTTCTCTACATTATTAGAATATCCTAGCCGAACAAGATTATTCTAGTACTTTTTTTACTAATGAAGGCTTATACTTTAAAAAAATTATCTGCGTGTAAACTTTATTGCTCCAACTTTAACATATTATTTTAATTTTATTCCAACTGATGTCACCAGACACGGACGAAATGTATGGCAATCGCCGAGTTCAGGCCACACAGAGTGCTTTTTCGTTACGCTGCACTCAGAGAAAAACATGATAATGACAATTATCTATTTAAAGGTAATTATATGAGTTTTGCATGTAGTATTACAATATATATAATTTAATAAATTATTTTGTAGTTAGCTAAAACTTTAGTCGCAAATAACTATAACATATTTTATTGAACTGTATACATTAATCCTACATACAAAATTCATATAGTTCTCACTCTATAATTGCACAGAGATATCACTTTCTTCGAGTGTACTCCAGACTCAAAGAGTCAACTTTCTATTTCATTTCTTTTTCACGAGAGAACAAAAGAAAAACGTGTTCTCCGCATAGAATAAAGAATACCAGGAAGGAGCATAAAGAAAAAATCCTTTGTTAAAAGGATTTGACGTGAATCAAATGCGATTATTGATATTATGGAATCGAAATAAATGTTACGATGTAATATTATCAATTAATCAAATAGACAAAGATGCGTGAACATATTGAAGAGAAAATTATTATAAGTGACTAATTTTATTTAATTTAATATTAGCAAAATATAAATATAATTTTTCTATTATTCTTTTAAAATTAATATTCCTTTGCTATATATACTTCCAAGATGTTTAAAATATATCGCCAGACCAAAACGCATTATGTTCGTTCATTCTCAAGTTAATTCAACCAAATTTTATTCCGTCTAACCCCGATGAAAAATTTTTCATGCAAAATTTTTCATGCATTTTGTATGAAATTTGTCCATACATAATTATGTATAATTATATATAATCATATGAAATTATATATAATTATACACAATTATGTATAACAATATGTATAATTACATATAAATTTATGCGTAATTATGTAAAATTATATATGAATTTATATATATAATTATACATAATTATATGTAATTATATATATAAGTAGAATGTATGAACATGAATGGACAAATTTGATACATAATAATATATAATTATATATAATTTTATATAATTTTATATAATTATATATGAAAAATTTTTCATTGGGACATTAAAGCAATGCAAGAAATAAAAGATGCAATTTAATATGGGAACTTTTTTTTACCCACATTGCAAAGCTATTGAAAAAGTTCCACACTTCTTATAAGGAACAAATATTTCTGCGAACAATTTTATATCTCTGTTCTCTAAATTCTTCATACTATCTTCAAACTGTGTTTCCGGTAACGTATGTCATTTATGACGTATTCATCGAACTGAATGCAACACAATCGATTATTCACGATGTATCGCAACATGCTCCTTCCTTATTCTTTATTCAATGATTCTCCGTACCTCCAAAGATGGGTTTGGCGACTTCGAAGGTGTAACGCGCCTTGAAGCCGCTGTAGACCAATTCAGAGTCGGTGTGCAGGATCACCTTCAACCCGAGCGCGCCGAGATTCGACTCGACCGGGCCCGGCGCGGTCGTGCCGCAATATCTCCCGATCAGTTTCTCCGTGCTGTCGCGGTACATGTTGTAGATCTCCAGCCAGTCATCCTGACACACCTCGTATCTGTCAATGGAAACGAGCATGTTTGACGACGGTATCCGGCCCGCGCGCGGAATGCCAATCGCGACGTAATTGAGACTCACCCGTAATGCCCGTCCGTGACATTGAGATTTTTCGTTCGCACCTTGAAGTGATCGAAGATCAGAGCGACCTGTTCGTTCGGCGTCGCCAAGAAGAAGTACGTGCAATTCGTGTCGCTGGGATAGTTGCTGGGGTATCGCGGCGAATTGAATTCGCCGCGTTTGCGGGAGGAGCTGCGATACGTGAAGGTGCAGCTGCCGTCGGGCGCCGCGGTGCCCGGTATTTTGTATTCCGTCTCGAAGGTATACCTATCGGCAGATCAGGACGAACGGGTATTAAACACACGATTATATCAACGAAATTAACATGGATCTGGTTAGAGCCGCTAAAGATTCAGCATTTTTATTCATAGATGAATATTGAAATAATATGAAAAAATTTATTAGAATACTGTTGAATATAACAAAATAAAGAAAAGATTAAGATAAAATACATAGATTAAGATTAAGAAAAGATTAAGAATAAAATACATAGATTTTCAAAATATGCAACGTTAGCATTATGCAATGCTATAAGATCTTATATAAGGGAAAATATAAGGATAACAGCAATTCCATTAGAACTTAAGGTAAGATTATACCCCACACAACACGTAATATCGCACGATTATATCAACGAAATTAACATGGATCTGGTTAGAGCCGCTAAAGATTCAGCATTTTTCAGCATATCGATTTTCTAAATACAAAGATTAAGATTTTATTCATAGATGAATATTGAAATAATATGAAAAAATTTATTAGAATACTGTTGAATATAACAAAATAAAGAAAAGAATAAAAAGGACAAAATAAAGACAAGAAAATTTGTTAGAATAACTGTTAAAGATCCTACATTTTATGAATAAACTTTGAACGCGCGGTCGACTTATTAGATTAACTTGAATCTTTTAAAATTGCTAAATAGCCAGTGTTTTCATTCGTGAACAGACTTTAAGCGTGTGGTAAAAATTAACTTAGATCTCTGTTAGAAATATTAAATAATACAGTGTTTTCATTTATGAATGGACATTGAGAATGCGCGGTTGTAATAAAAATTAACTTAGATCTGTTAGAACTGTTAAAGATCCATGTTTTCGTTTGTAAATGGGCTCAAAACGCGTAGTCGGCTTAAGAAAAAATTAATGTGCAGAAAAAATTAATGTGTCTATTACAGGGTTGGGAAGTAACTCGTTACTTGTAACGAAGTTACAGTTACAGTTACATTTTTTTCGGTAAATCTAATTTAATTTAGTTACTTTTTTCCCACCTGTAACTGTAACTTAACTTAGTTACTTATTTTTAGTAACTTGTTTAATAACTTTTTTCAATTACTTTTTAATAACTTTAATAACTTTAATTATTTTATTATTTATTTGTTTAATAACTTTTTAACAGTTACTTTAATAGTTACTTGGGAAACGTAAAATAAAATTAAAATTATATAGTAATAAATTTATCAACGTATTTATGGAGCATGTGATTAAATTCTTTTATCTCTACAAGACTATTATTAAATTTTTATTATGTTTAGTACAGATTTGAAATTTGTTAAGTGGATAGACCTAATATTGTAAATTTGATAATTAATTATAAAATTCAATTCTTACATTTTAGTAAAGCTTAAAATGTAAGATTTTTGTATTTACAATAATAATTTACAATCATTTCAAGAAAGTAACTTAAAAGTAACTCGTTACTTTTTGAGTAACGAGTTACTTTTCATAATCAGTAACTTGTAATTGTAACTAGTTACATTTTCAGCAAAGGGAACTGTAACTAGTTACTTTTAAAAAGTAACTTTCCCAAGCCTGGTCTATTAGAAACACACACTAAAGATCCAATGTTTCCGTGAATTCCCCGTTTGACGCGTGCGTTTTCACATATAATTCCAAATACTACACTACATAATTTCAATTGTCCTCTTATAATTTGCGCTCGCTGCGTATGCCGTGTCACGCACTTGCACTTACTTCGCTTTGAAACCTTGCGCCTGCAGCTCGCCGCTACTAAACACCATCACGAGTCTTGGCCCGTCGCTAACTACGTAGCTCGGATTGCTCTTGTTACCGCACATCTCGTAATCGAATTTGTCGTAGGAATCCGTCGCCTCCTGACCCTTCAAGTATAGCTTCAAGTAGCCGTCGGTGCATGACGTTCTGAAACATGAACAGAAATCTGGAAAATGCGAGATGCGCGAAACGACAGCACGTACCGTCCGCACGCTTTCAATCTTTATAAGAAAAAAAAAAAAGAAAAAAAAACGAAGAAAAGGGAAAACAGAAAATGGACAACTGGCGACTCACTCTCCCGCCGCCATCTGTATCGCGAACGTCTCGAACTCTAGTCGCACGCGCTCGAGATGCTGCGAGTCCTGCATCCCGTAGATGAAGTAACGGCAGACGACCTTCGGTATGTAAGGAAATGGAAAATTTGGGCTAACTACGACTCCCGAGGTCTCCTTCTTGCTGAGGATCTTCTGGTCGCACTCAGATCCGCGGATGTGCTCGCCTTGGTACACCGTTATGAAGTCTGTACAAGCAAGGCCGTGAAGACGATACATATAAAATGACTTTTTGTTAATAATATCAACTAAATTTTAGATTTGGACTTAGCTGAAAGACTAATTATTTTGTTTTTGCTAATTTCTATTGCTAAGAGTTAGCTATCACAGGCAGAATGCACTCGCTGTGAGATATAACTTTATTCGCTGAAATTAGAAACACACACATGTGTTTGAACAGCTAAAATAACGACAGCTTCTTCTAAATATCTTACGCGCATGAATCTTGAGCATTCAATTCTGTAAGTAATTAACCTTACAAAGCTCGTCCTACCAATTTTCACGTACAAGCATTATGTCATTAATTGTCAAATAAGAAGCAAGATGTTACTATTAATCTGAATAGAAATAAAACTACTAAATCTTATCTATAGTTTTAACTAAATTAAGAGGAAACCTACGGGGAAAATATAATTTTTAACTTGTTTACTCTTTGCGATATCATATTATATTGTTAGAAATTTATATAATTATGCATTATAAAATATGTACATAATATATGGCAGATCTATCAATTAAAGAAGTAGCATAGCACGTGAAAAGGTAGACGATCCACAATCCAAAATCCTGGGTTCGAATCCGATTTGAGTAAAAGCGAGTTTTTTAAATACATTGTAATATCGAATATCAAATAGTTAGATATTAATATAATATCAGTTAGATAGCTAACTCTCTCTGATTCAGATAAAATAATCATATACTACAACATCTTAAGAAACATTTTAGTTAAAAAAATAATAAAAATCTTAGAAATAGGAATATAATTTTATTACTATTGTGTGTATTTAGCGGCGAATATTTTTTGCTAAAGTGCCTAAGTTCAAGAAACTAATAAATTGAGATTCGATAATAACGACACTAGTCGTCCCTATTTCTAAAACACATTTTAACACTGCGGCTATATTTTAGCTAGTCCTTTTTCTGCGTTACAAGCTGAGTTTTAATAGTTAAGGATTCGAATATGTAGTTGAGCTGTACTTTGTAGCACCACAAAGAAGCGCCACAGAGAAATGCATTTTCGTGGCGCTACAAACGGTTTAGAGTGATATATAGGGTGTCCCACATAAACCAGGCCACCTAAATTCCATTAAAAAAAAATATCAATGACCTTAAAAACTCCGAAAAAAATGACTTTGAAAAAATAATCTTTTTTGCAACATATTGATCTCTTCATACCATTCAATTTACGTAAAAAATATTTTTTGTATCACAATTGATGGAGATATTTAGGTGGCCTGGTTTTTTTATTTTATTTTATTATTAGTTTGTCCTGAGACTTGCGAAGATAAGAAATGCTAAAATGTCTTTCAACAGTGTTTTCCATTGAAATGATACCATCTTAATGAAGGTAGATACTTCAAGGAAAGAAAACAAACACTTTGAAAAATATCTTAATATATTCACAGGATATCATAAACATGAACATGAACAGATTAGTATCGATAAAGCAGTCCAACGTGCAAGATGTATCCATTTGAAGAACAATCTTAGCCATCTTAGCAGGTTCTCAGGACAAACTAATAATAAAATAAAATAAAATAAAAATAAAATAAAAATCAGTCAATCGTGCACGTTCCGTACTTTTTTTATCACTTTTTTACTTTTAATCTTGTTCAATGATTTTGTGTTATATGTTTTGAACTTGTTTTGATGAATTCTATCATATGATGAAAACAAAACATATCAATTCCATTTAAAAAATGAAGATGACCTTGATATCTCTGAAGTGTCTCTACCTGGACAAAAGTCATTATCGCCATATTATAGCTCTTTTTGTACTATATTATTTGGTTAGACAAATTTTCCTTTAGACTACATGGATTGAAAAATATTTAAAGTGGTAATAGTTATTGCCTCACCCTGTATATACAGAGTGTATATAAAAAAGGTCGAGATCTCATAATATCTCAAAAAATATAAATTTTATAAAAAATGTTTTAGATAAAAATTGTAGGGTTTAAAAAGATCTATTTACTGATTTTATCAGTTTTACTTTAGGTGGCGTCGCCAAGGTTAGGATAACCTTTATAGAAATATCATACTAAGAATCGTTGATAATTACTTATTATCCAGTATTTTTAATACTGAAAATAAATAATTATCAATGATTCTTAGTATGATATCTATAAGGGAAGATCACCTTGAATTTCTTTTAATGAGATCTCTTATTTTTCATTACATATTCTTATAGCTCTTCTTGAAACCTGTTCAAGACATTGTAATTTTATCTACTTTGGTCACCACAAAAGTAGCCTGTCTGTACAGGCCTGTGGCACTTCTCTGTGACGCCACAAAGTAGCTCGTGCATTCGAGTCCTAAAGCTCTTGGGTATTGCCATAGTTATATTATGATGTTAGAAATAAAAAATATATAACACGCTGAAAATTCTTATATGCCATTTTAAAAAAAAAAAAGATATTTGCATGAAAGACGCTCGATTAAGCATTTCAGATCGATTAAGCATACTTGTAAAATATTCCAAAAACTATCTTTTCCCTTGATAGCCAATAAATAGCCGAAAAAGTAACATGACAAAATCATAAAGGAATATAGGTTAAAGAGAAAGATTGCATGTTACGTTAATTTTATGGCTATTTATTGATTGTTAAACGAAAAGGACAGTTTTCGAGATATTTTATAAGTATGTTTAAGCAAATAGAAGTATTCTTTTATATAAATATCTTTTTATTTGGAAATGGCACGCAAGAATTTTGGGCATACGTTATCTCGCTTTTGGCGTGAAATGAAACAGACAAAATGACACGACTGATAAAGCTTACCTAAGCTGACGAAACTCTCAGAGAACTCGAAGATGCCCTTAAATCCACGGTTTTGGGTGTTTGCGGTGCGTTTTAATGTGACGAACGCTACGTACAAACTAGACTCTGAGGAGTATAGCACCAGATTTCGCTGTTGACCACAGTACGTGCCGATCACGGCTGTGGTATTGTCGATACCGTCATACACCTTCACGTAGTCCAAAGGACAACTGCAGATCACGAGGAAATCTTCGCGTTAAAAGAAATCAAGCTATACAGTTCTCATAATATTTCCCCCATTGCACGATATATCGGTAGAAATCAACAAAGATGAAGTTTCCTTTTGATGTTCATACGCAAACACGTTTGATATTTTTGACAATCTATGAGATAATGTCCCAGATAATGTTAGTGTTAATCAATATCTACAATGAAAAATTGCGATACAAAGAAATAGTGGAAAGAATCCATCAAACTCTCCAGTCTTCAATTTGGACTCTCTTCGATGCAACAAGAAATGTAGAAAACACAAAAACGTGAACATTTAAAAACACTTAACACGTTCACTATTTTTTTAGAAAACTCTCCTGGCAGACTACATTGTTTTTATCCTTGTCACGGAAATACGACGTTAGTAGTGAACATATTAAATAGAATTAAAAATTTTGAATAAAATAGAAATTTCATTGCCCAAACACGCGTCATCCTAGACATTCTTATTATTTTGGGTTTTAAATATGAATATTTAAGCTTTGAACATAAAATACAGAGTATCTCCTTTTATTTTTGACAGTTAAATATCTAGAAATCACGAAGTTTTAGAAAAAATGTTTCAGATAAAAGTTGCAAAATTTGGAAAAAATAAAAAGAGAGTAATATTTATTTGATTTTAACCTCTTGATTTTCTTCATTGCACAGATCTGTAAATTCTTAACAAAGGAATTGAATCTACCATCATAGACTGCAGAACACAAGAGATAATAGATATTACAGTTTGTACGGAGGACGTGACGAGTTTGGCCCGGAACTGAAGAGTCTCAAAGGAGCTTACATGTTTCGTTCATCAGGCCCTTCAAAACTATGCGGAAGTGGGGGAGAAATTCTAAGTGCACAAATTGGAAAGAATATAGAGATGATGTACAGGAAAGGTTACGGCAAAGCCCATCCAATTTTCATAACAATCATCAACTTAATAAGGCCACTCTTTGTGTCTGAAGTCATAACGGGGGCATTCACGCCGCGCGTACAAATCAAACTATCAATGCAGATCTATTCGCTGCAAGTCCGGTTTTCCCTGGTGGGACAAAAAGCTGACTGAGCTCAGGGCAGAGGTAAAGAAGGCCTTCAAGGCGGCGGACTCGGGATTATAGGTTCACAAGGAGGCTTTTAGATCTGATTAAAAGTCTTATAGTAAGATAATCAATGCCGTAAAGAAAAAGAATTGGACGAATTTCTGCGCTGGCATGGAATGTACTCCAAAGACATCTGGGTAGAATTTCTATGCATACTCGCTAGAAAGGAATGGAAAAAACCTGACATCCTCTTAAACTTCCATTTAGAAATCTGATACACAGATGAATTGGGGTACAATGACCGTTACAGAGTGAGAATTTTCGGTCCTAGAACGACCACCTAGAATCACTTTATTCGGATTGATGACCAGAGATCCAAGTAAAGGCGATTTCTTAATACACTTTAGACTTGCTAGTGTTTACATACAATTCCAAATCAGAAATGATTCTATATAGGACTTGGATAGGGTTTCAATCGCTGATCTGCTATTAGATAATTTGCTTGCCCCTTTAGTGGTGGTCAAGATTTCAACACCTAAGAATAGCCAGAATTTCAACTTGAAAGACCGTGGCTAGACTACTCAAGAATATCCTTACTCCTAAGAAGAGAAAATTCCAGACAGTGAGCAGGATAAGAATGAGAATGGATATTAGACTTTTAACAGGACACTCTACATTCAGAACCCATCTCTTCAACCTGAGACTAGCCGAGCAGAACGATCGTTGGCGCTATGAGAACGAGCCAGAGGACAATATACATATTCTGTGCAAGTGTCCTGCACCAGCATGCCTTAAATACAAATCTTAGGGACGCATGTTCCTAAATCCAAAGGATTTAAATAAAGCAAGAATGGGTATAGCTTTATAAACTTAATCTGCGGGATTATAATTATCATCTTTAACAAAAAGTAGGAAGTTATAGAAAATCCTGGTGGCGAAAGGACGGTCTATCATGCCATCCCATTCAATGTACTACTATTTGACCTTAGAATGGCCTTGAGAAAAGTCCTATCAAAATCAACTTTAATTTTTTTAATAAAATGTATTTTTTAAATCGATTCTACGTATAAAAATTTTCAAGTAAAATCATCGAAAAGTAAATACTTTCCGAGATATTTCACATTTTATACTAATAATTTCCGCGCAAAATATGAAATATCAAGTAAACTATACATTTTTCGACCACCGCACTTCATTAATTTTTTTTATATAGAATAACGAGAGAGAAATCGATTTGATAATACTAATGTTTGTGCATCAACGAATCTACAAAATGCAAGAAATTTTGTTTAAAGTTTCTGTATATTTTTCCCACGACAATCGATTTAAAAGATCGACACAATAAGAATGTCCAGGATTAGCGACGTATCCGAGAATTAATATTTTTACTAAAACAAATAAACTTTAATTGAGAAATCGGCGCGTCACAACATATATGTAATGAACATCTTGTGATCGGAGAAATTGAAAATTTTGCTTTCGAGGAAATGTTCCCTTTTAGAAATAAATTTTTTGCCGTTTAATTTCTCGTTTATCGGGGCTCTGTTTCGAACGTTTGCAGTTCCCGTGCGGGCTCGCTTATACGTACTGTGGCCCCCCGAAAAACAGGTCGAAGTCGCGAAACTCCAGTCGCACGCGTTGCCCGGCGGTCCCGATAAACTGATAGCTACAAACGAGGTCCTTGGGATAGCTGCCGGGATAAGTGGGCGACAGTATGTTGCCGTTGCGTTTCTCCTGCACGCTTATCGTGAAGGAGCACGGTGTGCTCGGCGCCAGCGTGCCCACCTCGTACTCGGCTGCGAACGTCACGTAAAACTCATTAAAAATCGTTGGCTACGTCCCCCAGGGATAAGTAACTCGCACAAACGCGCGCAAATGACACCGCTTCACCGGTGAGCGAGGCACTCCGTGCCACGGGGAGAAACGGGCCGAAAATCTCAAATTGATCAACCCGACGACGAACTCTACTATGTTCCTCTACTATGTTCGATCGTGTACTCCAATTGGACAAAAAGATCGATGTTCTCTTTCTCTTTCTTTCTTTTTGAGTATTTCATTATAACCGAGGTTTTCGATTAATTAATCGTGCGTGTACTCGGCGCTCTCTCTCCCAGCACGGAGAATTCAAAAAGAATTCAGTAGTACACGGAAAGAAAAGGATTTGGTTGAATTAACGAAATATCTGGACGAATATAAACGATCCAGAAATTCCGATTGAAATAATCCGAATTCTGTTTAAGTTAACAAGATTTTTGGTAGATTAACCAAACATGTCTAGTTATTTAACCAAATAACTAGAAATCTCAAATTGATCAACCCGACGACGAACTCTACTATGTTTCTCTACAATGTTCGATCGTGTACTTCAATTGAACAAAAAGATCGGTGTTCTCTTTCTCTTTCTTTCTTTTTGAGTATTTCATTACAACTGAGGTTTTCGATTAATTAATCGTGCGTGTACTCGGCGCTCTCTCTCCCAGCATGGAGAATTTAAAAAGAATTCAGTAGTACACGGAAAGAAAAGGATTTGGTTGAATTAACCAAATATCTGGTCGAATATAAACGATCCAGGAATTCCGATTGAAATAATCCGAATTCCGTTTAAGTTAACAAGATTTTTGGTAGATTAACCAAACATGTCTAGTTATTGAACCAAATAACTAGAAATGTTTGGTTAAATAACCAGATATGTTTGGTTGTAATGAAATACTCAAAAAGAAAGAAAGAAAAAGAGTTAAATAACCAGACATGTTTGGTTAGTCTACCAAAAATCTTGTTAACTTAAACAGAATTCGGGTTACTACAGAATCGGAATTTCTGGATTGTTCATATTCGACCAGATATTTTATTTCAACCAAATCTTTTTTTTCCGTGTATGTCACCAATTATGAGTTCATTTTTAGATGGAAAAAGAATTCTCTTCACTGAACTGAACTTTGAAGAATTCTTTTTGCATCTGAAAATGAACTCAGAATTGGTGCCACACGAATGAATTCTTTTCGAATTCTTTTTTAATACTCTGTGCTATCTGGTCTTTGTCTCTTCCTCTACCTAGTCGTCGTCGAATTGTAAATTTTTGACATCGTCGCCCTTTCTTCTGCGAGACACGAGAAGGGAAATAAATATGCGTCGTTAGAAACTGATCGAGACGGGACACTTACAGGCGTTGATAAATTTGTAAATACCGCTGAAAACGTTCGGTAGCGTGACATTCTTGTCGGTGTAGAAACTGAGGGCGATTCCCTGATAGAGAGAAACCCGTCTGCGAGGTGGGATCGGTCCGCAGAACCGACCACCGAACGGCGTTTCTATCAGCTTAGTCGTGTTCTCCGATCGTATCTCCGAGTATATGTCCATGTATTCGTGAACACAGCTGAAATTAAAAGTTTTATCGGCGCGACTGATCCATGACGACTCGCGTGTCGTCTCTCTAAAGCGCGACAACATCTTGCGAGATACAGGTTCGCTCTTAATAATTAATATCAATTCTTATAATTAGGGTTCTTGTGCGAACTTGCGAACACTTACGCGGGTAATTCTCCCACAGCAGATCCACTATAGGCCGGCGAAATTGTGCGTGCAAACAAGATATACATTTAGACTCGTAATCTTTCATAATTTGACTAATCGTTTCTGCATGCATCGGTTAGGGGGTGTGATAATTCGTCAGAATGTTATAGTCTGCGCTTATTTCTCTGTTCAGACAACCTATGTGACATCTGACTTTAACCAAGAAAATCGCAATTATATTTCGTTTATATTCGTTTGTATCATCTTTAGTTTTGTACTTTAATAGTTAATAAAATAGCAGGAAGGGTTAAAAAATAATCAGCGTCTAACAACGAGATATCTCAAAACGGCCAAAACCTATTCAAAAGAACATCGTTTTAACCCGTTTGCACTGCCGTTCGTTTCATTTGTACCTTCACGGGAGTGGAATTGTGGGATATTGAAAAACCGTGCAAAATGGGTAATTTTGTCAATTTTAAAAATATGCTACTTTGTTATCGTTTGTACCTTGAAAGATTTGAAAGTATAGCATTTTCAAAATACGTCAATAACTTAATATGTACTTAATACTTAATTAATTTATGTATCTTTTGAGGTACGATTTGAAAAGTCGTACAAACAGATACAAATTAACCAGCAGTTTCTAGAGAGTTAGAATAACTTTAAAATTAACAAAATTACCTTTTATACAGTTCTTCAGAATTTTGTAATTCCATCCTCGTGTGGAAACAAAACGAATACAAAGGAGACAAATAGGTACAAACGATCCTTCTTCAAATGCCGTTTTGGGATATCTCGATAAATGGTGAAGTTGCATATTAACCTTTTGGCAAACTTTGAAAATGCTTACTTCCGAACCCTTTGAGGTGCAAGCGATTTGAAAAGCGGTACAAACAGATACAAATGCGAGATATTTGTTCGAATGATGTTAGTCGTTTTGAGATATCTCATTGTTAAGTGCTGACTATCCTATCTTTATTTTATTAATTATTAGTACAAATGAGATATAAATAAAATATAATCGTGATTTTTTTTGTTAAAGTCGCGTGCCAATTTTACATAGGTATTCCGTCATCCTTAAAACTTACATCGACAGAGAAGTGATTGTGACAAAATTATATCATTAAAATAACAGAAACCTATGTATATTTCGTGCTGCGAATAAATGAAGTAATGACAGAGTTGGAAAGTTTCTTTTGAAAAGTAATCTTATTTATTGAAACACATAACTCATTACGGTTACTTGTTACTTTTAAAGATTTTAATTAGTACAGAAATTAGTATTAGAAATCTTGTACGGAAAATCAGTAAGAACTGCAGTAAACTTTATTGCGTTACAAAATATTACAATATATACATAACCGTCTATTGGAACCTTAGATTTACAGAGAGGCGACATTGAAAAGTTTCGTTTCATTGGTTATCTGAATCACAAAGCCTAAACGCCATATCGTTTTCACAACGGCTAAAGGGGCGTCTACATTGGAAGTAAGTAGTAAGAAGTAGGAAGTGTGTGTGTGTGTGTGTGTGTGTGTATGTGTGTGTGTGTAAGAGTAAGAAATTGACCAACCACAGTCGAATGTGAGAAGAATAATCAACTATGATTGGTCAATTTCTTATTCTTACTTCCTACTTCTTACTACTTACTTCCAATGTAGACGCCCTTTAACAGGCATATGATAAGTTGTAATATTTTTGTATTAGCTATTTTTAGAATATCATAAAAATACTATCATAGAAATATCACTCAAAAAAGTACTGTTGTATGTATAGAGTTAAAACGTCAAACTAATTCAAGTTAATCAGAAGTGAATATTCCTGCTTAAAATAATCATTTTAATAAGATTAATTTTATATATCACTATATACATATACAAAATGACGACTTACAAAATAACAAATGTCAATGTTACTTTTATGTAAATCTAAGACTATATCATCTATTATATAGAAAACAAATTGGTATCCATTTAAAACTAATATACACAAATTAATAATTGTTTTATATACAAGGTGAGTTACTAGAAACTGCTTTCTAAGATTTCTTCATAAATATTAATTTTATGCAAAAATATTTAGGACAAAAGTTATATAATTTCGAAAAAGCTATATTTTTACCGTCTTAAATTCTTTTTAGGTGGAGACGCCAAAAAATTTTGAAGGTCATCAAATTTGTTTTAAATGGAAAGTTCTATTTTTAATCAACTGTAATTTTAGAGGATGGAAAGACGAATCCAACGACCTGTAACACTTTGACTGTGGCTTTGAAATGAAAAGATTTAGAAAAACAGGAAAAATAAGAGGTAGATTTGTTTGAAAAATTCTTATTTTTAGTACCTATCAGTGGCATAGCTAGAAAAAAGTTTCGGAGGGGGACTGTACTTTTTATTTTTGACAAGCAAAAAAAGGTCATTCGAAAAAATTTTTATCTCACTTAGCGTAACCCAGAAAATTAACTTCGAGGAGACTGCAACCCCCTCAGCCCCCCTTCCCCCTGGCTACGCCACTGCTACCTACTCTTCCTATTTCTTTGAATTTTTCATTTCAAGATCACTGCATGATCAAGATGTTATAGGTCGTTGGATTCGTCTTTCCATTTTCTAAAATTACGGTTAATTAAAAATAGAGTTTTCTAAACTTCAAAACTTTTTGGTCTCTCCACTTAAAAAAAAAAACTAAGGCGGCCAAAGTGTAGCTTTTTTAAAATTATTTAATTTTTGTCTTAAAAATTTTTGCGTAAAATCAATATTTATGAAAATACCTCAGAAGGCAATTTGTAGTAACTCACCCTGTATAATGATATATAAGATTAGAAGATTTTAAAGTTCTGAATTTCAATAATGTATTATAATTTTATTTTATTATAATAGTCTTGTAAGATATACAATATGATTATTTTGATGATAATAATATCTTCTTTTAATATTCAAAAACATCGTATTCTAAATACACTATTTTGTGCTTTCCATTTATGAAAATTATTTTTAAATAATAAGAATATTTTTTGTTGAATCCACATACACATAAAACTACAATAAAATATATTAGTACAAATAACTTATTCACTCAACACTATATAATCGCATTTTAAGATTTACTTGTCAAAAATAATGATATTTTCGAAACAAGAATATTTTTTAGAGTGTATATATAAGAAGCATATATCCAGTTTAAGAAACAAAACCAAAATGTAGTCGCCACAGTTCTGAATCTAGCGCCAAAATTTTTCAACAATAATTTAAGAAGTAACGTGTCATTATAATGTTCGTTACTTTTTTAAATTAATTTTCTCAAATTATAAAGGACTTTTATTTATTTCGCTTATGTTCATTCTATGCATGTGATCTATACATGGAGAAAATATATAGTAAAAATTATATCAAAATTATATATTTTATTTCACAATGTGTTTTTTTTTAACTGGGCTATGTTGACATTGTAATATATATTACTATAGAAAAATTCGACTCATGCTTTCTATATTTGTTTTTTGGATCACTGCAAGGAGAGGGAGGCTAGTGTCCCCCGACAATACACTATGTAAAAAAATGCGTACGATACTATACGGTTTGAAATTGTACTCTATCCCGGGAGATTTTGTCTCCTAGGGAATATTTATTGGAAAAAATATATTACTATATAATAAATTTGACGATCTGCCGAATATACGATATAAAAATATTTTAATAATTATAATAATTTTACAGTAAAATGTCAAACATAACATTTTTAAAGAAATGTACAATTTCAATGATAATTTCTGTATAGTCAAAAATTGACAAAATTTGTTATAATTTTTACTACAATATTTTCTGTGTGATGTACGAAATAATAATAAAAGCAAAGAGATTATAAAAAAAACTGTTACATAAAAAATATAATAGTGTTACCAGTAAAAGAAATAACATCGTTACGAAGTCGTTATTACAAAAAGTGACTTATAACGATGAATTGATTACAAGCAAACTTTCCAACCCTGAAAAATGATATCAAAATATCGTAATAATTTCTCGAATCTCGCTCGCTTTTCGCGATTGACACGAGTCGAAAAGTAATCAGGATCATGCAATGATCGACTCGACACGGCTCGGATATCTCGGCGTCTATTGTTGACTGCGGAAAGAATGGCAAGGGAGTGTGTTATCAGTCCGCGGGCGATAATAGCCGTCGCGAGTTCCGACGCGTCAGGTGCGACCGGTGGGATTGTGGGTGTGTAATGGAGGGTAGAAAAACGATGAAACGGAATGATGCTTGAATGCCGTGGTGGTGACACTCACTCTGGCGGCTTTCCCCGAAGGCCGAACGACGTGAAAACCAATTCGACACGCTGACGCGGCCCTGCGAGGAACGTGAAAACGCACTGTCGAGGACCCCCGTCGGAGTTGATCAGCGTCGGTGCATGAAAAGTTCCATTCAGCGGCCCGTCAGGAGTGCTTACAAACTTTTGGTCGCACTCTGTGAAACGAGACAAGATCGCGAATCGCGTGAGCTGATAACGTGAACGCGCGACGACCGAAATCGGTGTAATTCTCGGTGAGTTCCGTTGTCGCGGTACGCACGTTCTTTCTCCGCTTTTACGCGCACGAACGCGTTTGTGCTCGTACGAAAAGGGAAAAGAAATCTGAAAGGGATTTCGTAAATGAATACAAGCCGGCACGCTGATAAGACAAGTAATAGGTTTGTTCCTTATAGCATTCCTTATGAGCATTCCTTATGAGCATTGAATCTACGCTGTCTCAGTTAACAATATCATTATTTTTTACCATTTTATTATCTAAATAACAAATATTAATTTTATGATACTGTCTTGTTTCATTCAATACAATGCCACTAAAAGCATAAAACAGCACTTTTCTTGTCTCAAATTGACCATTACATAAAAAGTTTAATGAATACTATTCTTTCTTTTACGCCGCGTTTCCTAATGTATAACATTCGTAACGGTAAATTTTTACAATTTTTTAAATACAGACAGCGCAACTTAATGAAGTACACCTGTAAAGAACAGACCTAATATCAGCGCATCGCTTCGTACTTTTCCATGAAATAATTTTCAGATTCCTTTGAATTATCGAGCCTTTACACGTATAAAGTCTCAATAAAACTCCCTCATGTATATGACATTTTTACTGTTATTTCCCTCTCTTTTTCCTCACATATTTATTTAGTTTTTAGTTTTATTTCTTCTCGTATGAAGAGGCGTATCGCGCGCAACGTACGCCCACTCTCTGACATTTCTGGAATAAAGCCTTCTCGAGGCGCGAGCGATCGATTTTACATTCGTTACGGTGAGTACACAATCTTCGATGTTGCGTGGCTGCGGAGAGGAGCGAGAGAAAATGTATGTATATGTAGGCGCTACACACATAGACGCGCGGCGAGACTCCGAACTGACCGAAATTACATCGGTTTCGATCTGCAACGGCGGAGAGCGCACGTCGACATAATTCGGGAGCTCTATACGATCACTATTCAAGCTACGTAAAGTCAGCTGGGCGTAAGTGGAGAAGCGATAACGAGTAGAAGAAAGGATGGAGAAACGTACTTGGTGTTCTAGCAGTGGTGAGACCTCCCGGTGGTGGTGGCGGCAGTGATGGAACGTAGTCTTGTTGTGGCAGTGGCGCGTCAATTACCTCGCGGGCTGTATTGAGGGACGGTGTGACGATTCAAAGTACCCCCGACCGACAACACCAACCGCCACCGGGAACACACCACACCGTATTAATTCGACGATAATCGTGACAGTGCGAGGCTGATAACAACGTGACGTATGTCGCTGCCAGGGCGAGCGTTTTTTCTCTCTGTCTCTCTCTTTTTTCCCTTTTCTTTTTTCTTTTTCACGCCTTCCAGTTTCGCGTTTTCGCACAGCACGATAATCCGAAACCCACTCGTCCTCTCTCTCTCTCTCTCTCTCTCTCTCTCTTTCTCCCTCTCTCTCCTCTCTTTCTCTCTTTCTCTTTTCCTCTCTCCTCCTCTCTTCTTTCTCTCTTTTTCGAGGCTGTCAGAAGGTAATTTACGCTTGAACTCTCGTATATAATAATTATATCGCGATGGGTGAAAAACGGCCGGCGAAATTTCAAGTGAAAACTCGTGAAAAAGAGAGGATGAGAACGGAGCATGCGCCCTACGCTTCGCGCATAGTCACATTATTATTCGACATTACGTCGTTATTGTCAAGCGAGAAATGATATTACCGGGACCCGTCACCTCGGGATAAACATGCAAGATTAATCATCATGTTCGCGAGGAGTAAAGCCACGCGAGACATAGCGGGTACGTCTCGCGCACGTCCTCGCGGATATATGATTCCCTCGATTCCTCACCGAGAGTTATTTCGAGCGACACCCCGGGTATGCCCTCGCGCATACCGACGGATAACTCTCAATTAAAGTTCTTCGCGCCGGGGAAGTCGATATTTCTCGGAGGTTGCTCTTTCCTCGGGTTGATCTTCGCGTAAAACGAGGAGAAAGAAAAGAACGATGTATACTTAAGGAATTACACACTAACGCATTCTTACTGACCTGTGGAGCTGTGTGGACAGAGTAGCAAGAGTAACACGAGGGCTGACGAAAGAAAACTACTCCCAGAGACATGCCGGAGTGCTGAAGCCATACTGTATCCTGAGAATAATCACTCATATACCTCATCGTCGACACACATACACGCGCGCGCGCGTGCGGATTCCTACTACAATTTTTGTTTTTGTTTTCTTGTTATATTTCTGTTCAAATGTCTTTACCATATCGTCAGTGTCTGTCCCGGGCGCAGGAAAAGCGAGGAAAATCGATCCGGAAGATCATCTGCAATACACGGTTTATCCGTTATTATCGCATACTTATGCACATAGACTAAGCGTTTCCACAAGAGGCTGACGAAGATCTGACCAAAAAAGAATATCGTCAATTAAACGGCCTTTAATTAAATTTGCCAAGTTCAATTGTTAACTGAACGATCTTTGATTTCCTTCATATTAATCGTCAATTGAACGGTTTTTGAATTCGTCAAAATTGATTATCAATTAAACATTTTCTGATTGAATTTGCTCGAATCAATCGTTATAATTACTTGAATCGAGACATACTTGTTCAAATCAATTACTGATAGTATAGACATTAAATATTTGTCTAACTTGTCTCGTATAGGACATTTCACGCAGCTTTCTCCGATAGAAGTCAAGCTGGATGGGACTCCGATAGAACTAGATTGTGAACAGTGGAAAGGAATGTCGTGTAGTTGCTCTTCAAATCACGTCTTCAATCCAGAGTTGTAAAAATATCAATTAAAATGTTTTCCAATTTAGTAATTGATTTGAACAAATATGTCTCGATTCAAGTAATTATAACGATTAGTTCAAGCAATTAGAGAACGTTTAATTGATAATAAATTACGGATTCAAAAACCGTCCAATTGACGATTAATATGAGCAAAGGGAATCAAAGATTGTTCAGTTAACAATTGAACTTGGCAAATTTAATTAAGGGCCGTTTAATTGACGATTGAATCTATCAAACTTAATTAAAGATCATTTAATTGACGATTAATGTGAAATAGCAATACTTGAAAAGTAAGTTAAATTTTTTCAGATTTTTTAAAGCCTAAAACAGTAAAAAAAACTTAGGCTGAGCAGAAAAGATTCAGATTGCAGACGGAGGGAATAAAAATATGATTGCAAACGGAGAATTAAATTTGCTAAGTTCGATCGTTAATTAAACGGCCTTTAATCAATTTTGCTAAGTTCAATTATTAATTTAACGCCCTTTAATTCCCTTCGCTCATATTAATCGTTAATTAAACGATATTTAATTGAATTTGTTGAAATAAATTATTAATTAAACGCTCTCTAATTTAATTGGCCCATATTAATCGTCAATAAAACACAATGATCAATTAAAAAAATAATTAATTGTTCGCAATCTTGCTTCAAACCTCTCATAAGAAACGCAGTCTATGTATATAAGTCAATAATTAATATTCATTTCAATCGCCGCAATCGATATATTGTTAGACAAATAAGTGAGTACACTTTGCGCCATCTCGAAAACGCGATCTACTCGAGATGATAGTTTCCTGTTATGTTCGACAATTGAACGTGATACGAGCGCGACGTATGGTTATATAAGGTGTAGAACCTTCGAAACTCTTGTGGAGGCATTCCAGATAGTACAGAGAATTCAAAAAGAATTCAGTCGTATGTCACCAATTCTGAATTCATTTTCAGATGCGAAAAGAATTCTTCAAAGTTCAGTTCAGTGAAAAGAATTCTTTTTGCATCTAAAAATGAACTCAGAATTAGTGGCATACAACTGAATTCTTTTTGAATTCTCTGTGATATTTGGGATAGTACGGATTGAGACAAACATAAAAGTCCTATATTGTTTTGTGATATTCGCAATAATTATCAAGATATTAATTAAAGATTTGTAAATGACTACGTGAGATATGATAAATGAGCTGTAGTAATGACGTCTGCCATCTTGTACTTGTACATTAGAACATTAGCTAAAGAAAAAAATCCTCTACCATTTTGCTAATAAACTTGTAGATTTTTTATTATTAATTAAAAAAAATAGGCGAATGGTCGCTCGCGATAATATATTAATGTTATCTAACTAATAATTAAAAATCCACAAAGTGTTATTAGGAAAAAAATAAAAAACTTTTTTGTTCAGTTTGATCTAATGTACAAACACACAATGGCAAATATCGTCATTATAGCTGATATCCCATTACTATATCTCGCGTGATTATTCACAAGTCTCTTTTAATTAATGTCTCGATAATTATTGCAAATATTGCAAAATGGTATGACTTTTATATCCACATTAATCCATATTATACCTCCATGAGAGGCTTTCAAAGGTTATTCTGGGACACCCTGTATATATCCCATATACCATTTTCTTATCTTAAAAAATTTATTTCATTGTTTGCCTCTTTTTTGTGATTATATCTATCTCAATTTCGATGTAAGTCATTTTTCAACAAGAGACGTAAGTGATATAAGATCTGTTTGTTTTCGAAGAACTTCTATAGTGTGATAAACTGGAGTGAAATAAGCATCGACATATAGGCCGGTATTCATAGTCGACTCTTATTTCAAGACCGTTTTAAGTAATGTCTTAAGATGCGAATACGGCTCTGTGATTGGTTCATGACATCTTAAGACAGTACTTAAGATGATCTTAAATATAAGATCGGACTATGAATACCAGCCATAATACTGGACGGAGCATTGTGCCGGCATCGTATTGCGGGCGTAGAAAGAAACAAGACAATGGCCGGTATTCATAGTCGAATCTTATTTCAAGACCGTCTTAAGTAATGTCTTAAGATGTGAATACAGCTCTGTGATTGGTTCATGACATCTTAAGACAGTACTTAAGATGATCTTAAATATAAGATCGGACTATGAATACTGGCCAATGTGTGGATAGGAGCAGTTTATGGAGCAACAGGACCACGATGCATTTACAATTCTATTATTTTAATTAATTTTTTTATAGCAGTAAGAATATAGGATAAAGGAAAAAGAAAAAGGTGAAATATAAAAATGTTTATAGAGTATATAAAAAGTTTGTAATATATATGTATTACACGTACAACATGTAATCACACTATAAAAACTGATGTGTTAAATTTAACATTTTGTGTCCCAAATCATCCACTCTTATTTATGTATAAATTTAACACAAAACAAATGTAAAAAGTCACATGCATAATATGTAAAAAATTAACACAAGAATTTAACACTTGAATACCGTCAGTGATTCCTAACGGTCAAATGTTAATGATTTGGGACACATGAATGTGTTAAATTTAACACATCAGTTTTTACATAGTGCATATGTAGTAACTCAGGCTGCGTTCCGAAATGCAATGCCAGTACTGAAAATCTATAGTTCATGTTACGTATATTATCGAATTTCAGTACTGGCAATAAATTTCGGAACGCAGTCTCATATGTAGTAACATATCCCAACTTTTAAGAATACGATACTGTTCCCTAGGTCAATGGAGTTAGTTCTACGGCTAGGAATACCAACAACAACGATACTGTTCCCTTTCTGCTTAGACAAAATTCAACCAATGAACAGAGAGTAGAAAGAGAGATCCGTGCCTACACATCTAGCTTTTTCTTTCTATGTCTCTCAACACGAAAGACCAAAGAAGTCTTGCCGAATGCTCCGTCCAGTACTATATGTCGATGGAAATAAGTATATTCTCTCTCATTCTAACTTACTGCACTACTTCAGATATCTTTTTGAAAACAAACAACCCTATAAGTTGCGTTTCGTAATATACGTACATTTTCTACGTAATATGAACTACAAATAAATTCGTACATAGCCCTTTAGAAAATAGATTATTCACAAATCTTCTATAATATCTCCATTATTATTACGATTTTCGCTAAATGGTATGGAACTTTTGTTTATCTCAATCCACTCCAGGGAATCGATTCTGTATCTCGAAACGAAGTGAAAATTACAAAAGTGAGCAAATATACTAGAATATTCGTAATTTCATTGGTCAGTGCCTAGAGAATGCTCACTTTTGTAATTTTCACTTCGTTTCGAGATACAGAATTGACTCTCAGGTTCTCATAAGAGATTGTGAAATCGAGCTAGGACATTCTGTGTACAGCAAGGTCTAAGGTCTAAAGTCTGAAGTTAAACGAGTCAAGAAATATCGTGTGTGATTTCCGACTTTTCCGAATCGATCGAAATGTGCGTGAGACGCGTTGTGTTATTTCGCGCGCGTAATTATAATGCTACGATCGTCTGCGATCTAGCGAGGATCATGCTACGTGATGCCACGTGCAGTGGCACGTGGTGAATATGGTTCATGGAATGTGTAGTTTTGTGATGAATGCGAATGCCACGAATCAACAAAGGATCTTGTTCGGGCCAAGAAGAATCAGCTCACAGGTAGATTTTTAGTTCCCGTATTTTTCTCGAGCAGCACACCTACACGTAAAAAATAATTCCGTTGGTGCAACCGAATTTTCAGTTGCTCAAGGATCAGGCGAGAACTCGTCTGTAGAAACAGAAAAATTCCTTTATGAAGTTTCTGTATAGTCAATCGTCCTTAGTTGCCTCAACCGAGTTCTAATATCGCTGAATGTTCAGACAAATATTTTCGGTTGCGACAACAGAAATATTAGTTTTCACAACAGAGATATCGCTTCTGATCACTTAATTTTCAGTTGGTTCCTATTCGGTTGCACCAAGATTTTTTTGCGTGTAGTAGGGGAGCCCAGGACTAGTTGGCTATCGGAGTAAGTTAGCAAAACCGGTTATTTTTTAATGAGTTACAAAATTAGGCAAGCAAGATTTTTAAACATGTCAAAGGTGGGTTTGAGACCCCTTCTTGCTTTATTCTGAAATCGATTAAAGTAGAAATAATCGATTTTGTCAATTTATCCCGGTGGTTAAATAGCTCAGACCTTCCCTAATTGGTCAACGTATAGACATAAGTTCACAATGCTTTATGCTGCTCGCGTTATATTTAACCACGTGTAAGAACTGAGACATAGTTGCGTAAGTAAAAATTGCTGAGTCGCAACGATCGCGAAAAGTTTTGACAAATTTTTGTACATGCATGTTTTTCTCAAATAAATCATTAATCCTCGTATCTAATCAGCGATGTTATATTTTTTGTTTTACGCCTTGTCCGCAACCTTGCTTTAATCTTTAAGCCGTAATAAATTGACCAACCACAGTCGATTATTTTAAAAACAATGAACTGTGGTTAGTCAATTTCTTACGGCTTAAACATTAAAGCAAGGTTGTGGACAAGAGGTTAGATCTATAGCAGTTCGCGGCCACTTCCGAATTCCCGCTGATCAGTAAATCAATAACAAAGATTTTTAGCTGATGTATTTTTTTATGGTTGTCTTTTGTATGAAGTCAATATGATTTACTTGTACACTGAGAAAAAAAACAGTTGGATTGACAAAATCGACGGTCACCAGCCATCAAAGAAATATCGCATCTATTCAACAAAATACAATGTTAATACGACAATAAGTTGCGTTGAAATCACTATATCAATATATAGTTTGATTGTCCATGAAATCATGTGGACAATCGATTCTAGTGTGTGATTTGAAGAAAACATTCAGGGCTACTTACGAAGTTCATTGCCCGTTTTTTTTATTCATAACTTTCTTTTGCAAAATAGATAAAAAATTTTTTATACAAACGTAAACAAATCGTAGGCAATCGAATACATAATTTGAAAGAGAATATGTATTATCATATATTATAATAATATTTATTATTTATTTGCAATTTGTTTTATTTTGTTTTTTTTGTGAAATGAACAAGAAATTATTTTCGGAAAAATATGAACAAATCGTGGGCTAATGAATATTGTGTGAATTTCATAAAAATTCGCATTTTAAGGAATTAATTCCACAAACCTCTGAAATATATTGCTCGAAATAATCAAGGGATAGTTTTATTGATCAGCAATCTTATTTATCATATATCTGAATTATCAAATATAGAATTCTGACAGTGATGGAATAAGGATGCTGTGAGAGATTACTTATACGTGTTTTTTATTATATAAGAAGAATACGTTGGTGACTAATAACACAATTATACAGCTAAAAAGAAAGAAAAGAAGAACATATGTAATCTAATTTAACGAGAGTTCCTCAAATTAGAGTTAGGACACATTATTTGCTATTTGTAGAGAAGGGATGAGTGAGTGAGTGAATAATGGGGACTTGCGAAATAAACAAAATTTTTCGTTTTAGGAGCAAATTAAAAAAAGAATCACATTTTATATAAATATGATATTCGTCAGGAGAATTGTCTTCATTGCAGTACTTTTTTCGAAAAGAGGTCGAAATAAAAATCAGTTAATTTATTTGAATGAGCATTGCACGAAAAATGCAGCACAAGTTCATATTTTATTTTATTATAAAGTTTTAAAGTCCTAATATTATATTACAAAATCCAGCTCTGTACTTCATTTTGCACATTTGTAAGGAAGACTGTAAAAATAGACTGATGAGTAAATATAATGTCCGCGAGGCAAAATACGAAAAAAAATGCAGATACTACGGAAAATGTAAGCCCGCTATACTAAATTCCAGCTGTTGCGTCCGCGTGAGCGATGCATTAGTATTCACGTGTGTATGGACATACAACTACGCATACAAAATGATGTTTCATACTTTCGTTACACGAGACCCAAAGTCAAATCAAGTTTAGAGTCCCTATAATAAGAATCCGGAATAAAGAAACCCCGTATATCTGATTTTTAATTGGCTTCGCCACTTTTGGGTAAGTTTCCGGTTAAAATGACGTCAAAGCTATTAGCTGATTGACAATATAAGTAAAAATTTGCTGTCCTCCACGAAGTGTGTTAAAAGAAAAACGAGTTTGTGTGTGTTTAATATTATGTAACTAATATCTTTTTTAAAAAAATCATGAATGTATAATGATATTTACAGAAATTATTCTTATAGAAATATCATACTAAGAATCATTGATAATTACTTATTTTCAGTATTAAAAATACTGGATAATAAGTAATTATCAATGATTCTTAGTATGATATTTCTATAAGGGTATACCTACATATAATACAATTTTTTAACACACACAGAGATGTGTATGGGTGTAGATTATATTAATCTACCTTTTATTACAATACCAAAATGCTTGGTTGTATTGCCAATTATTGTATTAATTCATCAGCAAAACGCATATAAAAATGTGTTGCCTTTCTTAGAAATTTAGAATGATTCGTGTCTCAGCTACGCCGATTTTATTAAAATTTTAATTAAAATTGCCGAATTTCTCGGTTTGGCCGAATTTCGATCCATATTGATTAATTTAGCACAGATTTGAAATATTTCGGTTGGAATCTCGACTAAAGAAATTTAGAATGATTCATGTCTCAGCTGTGCCGATTAAAATTATTTAATTATATTTTGTATTTAATTTTATTTCTTATGTATTTTTGTTGTACTTGTTGATGATAGGAATGAGAACATTAAAAAGTTATAAATTGTTCGTGAAACTCAAAGTGAGCCAAAATGAAAAAATATGACTTAAATATTTTTTGTACTTCTATATTTATGCCAAATTATAAAAAAATCTACATTTTGAGTAGGTTTACTTCTCAGATAAATGATTTTTCATTCATATAGAGTGAATTTTCCATGTCTTATAAGTTAATAAAATCAATAGAGTCAACTCGGATTAACGTTTTTATTTGTTGCTCATTTATTGTTAAAAAAAATTGTAAAAAAATTTGCTCTGTAAATTTTCATTTTAGATAATGTTTCGCTAAAAGAAAATGAAAAGTTAGCGGATTAATGTGTGTGTGTATATATGTGTATGTATATATATATATATATATATATATATATATATATATGTATGTTTCACTAACTTCATATCTTTTTTATCATTAGAACATCTAATATCATTCTAACATCATTAAAAAAAACCTGCAGAGCAACAATTTTACTCTTTGGCAACTGTTTAGCAACAAATCAAAACGTTAATTTTGAATTGTTATACTGGCTTTGTTTCACTAACCTATAAAACATGAATTTTGCATTCAAGAGCTTGATTCTCGAAAATATATCGCGTACGATATTTAGTGAAAAACTATAATATACATAAAATATAGCTTTTCATGAAATATAGTATGCAACATATTTTCGAGAATCAGAGTGGATATTTTCACTCGAAATTGAAGAATGAATCTGATTGGAATAGGAATACATTCGCTCTAACCGATTGAAATATTCACTATGGAGTGAGAATTCATTGCAAGCTTGAATAAAATATTCATTCTTGTGATTTCGTGGCAGTATTTTCACTATTGCTTCGAGTGAAAACATTCACTTTTCATTCATTTTGAGTGAGATTCCACTTTAAGAAATGTTGAGAGTATTTAAAAAGAATTTAAGGATCAGTGGCGCGCGGTTGCGCGCATTTTTAGTGACTAGTCTAAAGAAAAGAAAATACAAAAAGCGTAATGTGCGGTTAATTTAGTCGCCAAGGTGTTTCTTTCAAGCAACGCATCGTGTTTCATAACACCACGGTGACGATGCTGGAACGCCGTTAATTGAACAACAACGAAGTCACTATTTTTTGCCGCAATCGATATAATCGCCGGCTCAATCGACTGCGATATTCATGATTTTGCGCAGACGAGAAGACATATCTCGAGCGCGCGCGCGGGCGAATAACGTTTAATCAATTAATGTCAGTCCACGTCGCAAACGCGATAATATTACAATCCGGACGTGTCTACGCGAGCGCTATCGATTACAGGAAAAATTAATCGCGCATGAACGTATAATGCCTGCTATACGGCCAAGTTTGTTTTCGCCTGAGCGAGCGGGCTTTGAAAAATAAAAGCAACCTGCTCGCGATCGCGTGAAGTGATTTCACACTGAATTAACGAAATATCGACACGACAACGTTGCGACGGCCCGACGCACATCGAGCGATCGTTCGGCATGCCGTGTTCGAAAGGTATTTTACAGCGGTAGTCGTGGAAACGATAATAATTCGATAATGAATCCCAGCGTTTCGTTCTCTTCTCGCTCCGGGAAGCTCGAATTGAAAATTGTTGCGGCGAAACGAGAGTGCCCGCGCTCTAAT